CAGCTGGAGCCTGTTCCCAGTGTGCGCATGCAGAGAGTTGCCAGATGAAGGGAAGAGCTAAAGAACAGGAGTCGACTTGGGAGGAAGGCCACAGGGGGGACGGTGAATGGCCCCTCCCAGAGGGAACAAAAGAGGAGCGAAAGGGGAGTGGAGTTTGCAGGAGACAATTAGTTCGTTTAATTGGTTTGGAGACTCCTGGCCAAGTTCTGCAAATCTCGGCCTGGCAGCTCTCCAAGCCAGATGAGGTCTGTGACTGTAAATCCTCCCTCGAAAGACTTTGCTGGTGGTGAATGAGCAGAATTCACCGTCAATTAATAAAAGGGGTTTTTGTCGGGACCAGGAGTTGGAACAGCCTCGGGTGGAACAGCTAGCCATACTTATCGTATACATGCTGGCTGAGGAATTCTGGGAATTGAAGTCCAGCCACCTTAAGTCGCCAAACCCTGATTGAAGGTCAACAGCCTAAGCCAAGGGGAGCAATCTTCTTATGGACTAGCACCTTGTCCCTTTCAAAAATACAGGCAGCTACGCGGGGCGATGTTTTTATCAGAAACAACAACAAATAGTTGGTAAGGTTGGACACTCAACAAAACACCGAGGAAGACATTATCAACTCAACGGTGGTGTATAATCACAGTCTTTATTTCAGAAGGTAGCATGTAGAGCTACAGTCACCTAGGGCTGGTCCCACTGGGTTCAGTGGAATTTGCTTTGATTGGTAGGACTGAGCACCCGATCTGGGGCCTTAAGCAATGCATGAAAAGACCATTTATCTGGTTCCACTGAGCTTCTTGAGAATTTCTGGACTCCTAGAATCCAAAGGCAGTCAAGCTACTTGAGATGATTTCTCATCTCTCAATCACTGCCGTTCAGATGGTCCTTGTTGAAGGACCATCAGCCACCATTCAGCCATACAACAGAGTTGAACATAATTACAACCAGTCCTCGTAGTTCCGTCTCTTGCAGCGTGGTCTCCGTGTTCATGCGACTGTGATCCCGGGACATCGCAAACAGGGCGACGAAGTGAGCCCCAATCATACGATTTGCAATTTCTGACATTTCCTACCGGCTTCCCATAAGCAAACTCAATGGGGAAGCCGTCGGGAAACCGGAAGCCACAGACATGTGAGGATAGCAACCGCGATGGCTAGAACTGCTACTGCTAACCGTTACTTATGGCATGGTCATGTGATGGCACACTTTAGAACTGTGTCACGCGGTGCTTTCAATTCCAGTCCCCAAAACCATAGTGAACTACCATGTTTTTCGGAGTATAAGATACACTCCGAACCCCCCTAAAAGAGGGTGAAAATTTGGGTGTGTCTTATACACCAAATGGAGACCCACCCACCTACAAAGCCCCCACCCTTTGGCCTCTTCCTCCCAGCAATTTGCCTCCTTGCAGCAAACAGCCTGTTTCGGTTTCAGCACAGCCTGATTAGCACAAGCAGCTGATTGTCGGTTGGATCGGCCGCCTGACGATCAGCTGTTTCAGGCTGCAGGGATTGCCATTGCTTATTGCCGCCTCCCGTGCCCCGTTTTCGGCCTCCGTGTGCCCCATTTTCCACCCATTCCAATTCCCGCCACCTGGGCGGAAAATGGGGTGCGCGGAGGCCGAAACTGGGCATGTGGAGGCGGCAATAGGTTATTGGAATCTCTGCAGCTTGAAACAGCTGATTGTCGGTTGGATCGGCCGCCTGACGATCAGCTGTTTCAGGCTGCAGGGATTGCCATTGCTTATTGCCGCCTCCCGTGCCCCGTTTTCGGCCTCCGTGTGCCCCATTTTCCACCCATTCCAATTCCCGCCACCTGGGCGGAAAATGGGGTGCGCGGAGGCCGAAACTGGGCATGTGGAGGCGGCAATAGGTTATTGGAATCTCTGCAGCTTGAAACAGCTGATTATTAGAAGGGTGATCCAGCCAACAATCAGCTGCTTGTGCTAATCAAGCTGTGCTGAAGCTGAAACTGGCTGTTGGCTGTTTGCTGCAAGGAGGCAAATTGCTGGGAGAAAGAGGCAGATTCTTTTTTCTCATTTTCCTCCCCAAAAGCTAGGTGAGTCTTATACTTCGGAGCGTCTTATACAGAGGTGGGTTCCTGCTGGCATTACTAACGGTTCGGCGCGCAAAAAAAATTACGTACGTATGTATGTATGTATGTATGTATGTATGTATGTATGTATGTAT